TTATAGTGCATGTTTTACTAGTAAAACCTCCTGGTAGTTAGTAATACACCTTCGTAACGATGTTTATAGTGCATGTTTTACTAGTAAAACCTCCTGGTAGTTAGTAATACACCTTCACAATGATGTTTATAGTGCATGTTTTACTAGTAAAACCCTTTTGTAGTTGGTACTACACCTTTGTAACAATGTTTATAGTGCATGTTTTAGTAGTAAAACCCCTTTGTAGCTGGTACTACACCCTTGTAATGATGTTTATAGTGCCTACCTTATATATGCTTACGTCACCAACTGACATATTACCTGTAAGTCAATCCCAATTATATTGTGTGCCGTTTAAAAGCAATTGCTACTGTACATCTGGTGCACGTATTTACGTTAAATGTTAGTAATTATCTCTAATATTCAACATTTCTAGTAGATCTGCTGTGATCCTGTTCAGCTTCAAAGATCATAAAGAATTCATTGACACCATAAACTCTTGAAAAACAACAATGTTTTTCTTTTTCTTTATTTGCTGACATTTTTGATTTCTTTTATTCATTTAATTTTTTTTTTTCCTTGTTTTTGTTTCACAGGAGAAGATGGTAAAACAAAGACTGTGGGGTTAACGTGTAAAAAGATTTGTGGTTAAGATGTTAATAGTTTGTTTGACTCGTATGATTTTTATTCTCCTTGCTTTATTTTTCATTGTGTATTTCATTACATGGTCTTGACCCCTAAGGTCTCAGTCTCGGACACTGAAGTCTCAACTACAACACTGGTAATTAGTTAATGTAGTTTGTATGAACATTACCAAGTTCCTTAAATTCAAAAATAATTTCAGTGACATATCCTTGGACGTGGGTACCCATATGTTGTTAGATTTCTCTCAAAGCTGCTCAAATTTTAAGTTTTGTCTAATGTATTGAGGGCATCAACAGGCTGTACCTATATTTTTACCTCCTTGTCCTCTGGGAGAGGACTGGGGAGGTGATAGTTTTATCTGATTTAAACAAATGTGCATGTATGCACAAGTGTGGTTGCATTGGTACAACAATTTCAGTAATGATATACAGTATCTTGTATATATTGTGAACTGTGGTTTCTGTCCAAATGTTCATCTGTCTCCACTTTTGAAATGACAGGAGAACAGGCATGAATAATGTTGATGGCAAATTTTATTTTGCAAGCAGGATATTCTGTACTAAATTGTTTGGAATTAATCACACTATCATTCACATTTCAGAATGTGACGTAACTTAAAGAATAAAAATGTAGATTTACTGTTTCTTATTGTTGAGCAGCTCTTAGCATGACTGAAATACTCAACAATTACTTTTTTTGGTTGGCGGTATAAGTAGCTTGGAGCTTGGGCTCTGAGTGAAATCAAGAGTGCAACACAATTAACCTTTTTTAAAGTCTATGAAATAATTTAAATTGGTAGATTAACTTAAACTTTTCCTGCCACTGGGGACAGGTACTTTTGTTGTAGCAGCATAAAATGAAGCTAGTAAACCAATAAAAGTAGCTTTTTTTTGTTTGTGGTGTACAGACATTGGCTAATTTACTCAGTTCAAGCTAAAATATATCGTTATCTTTACTTTCAAGGTTGACTATATTTGATATAACTGTCATTGCATATACTCTGACAGAAGAAAATGTGGATATTCATGAAGGTTATGCCTTATGTGGAGGCCACATTGTCAAGAATGCACTATGACAAATCAAATCTAGTCAAGGTTAACAATCTTTTAAATAATAAAGTAAAATTCAGTCTACAGTATGTTAAAAGTTTTAACAATTTCTTTAGTGATGTGTATTCCATGATTTATTTGTATATGTTGGACACATTTTGATGTAAGGTAGTTGTACTCACCAATGTTTTATTGCTTGACTTGAGCTTCCAGCTGTAGCCATAATTTTAAACTTTAATTTTCTTTTTAAGAGGAAGGCATGTATCCTTCTTTCCTGCTGTTAACTTTGTCCTAATTAGAATACATTGTTAAATAAATCAAGTTTGGGGCTAGTTTTTTAAGTTTAAACTAAAGGTGCTGACAGTTGATATGCATTTTATTATATAATAGTAATTCTAAGAACTTATAAGTGAAAGGAAATAAGAGTGTATGACAATATGTCAACCCACACTATATCTGTTACATCCAGGCATATGACAGCATTATGTCAGTGTATTAGTGTATAGCCTATTCAAATCGACAGGACAAGTACTACCACTCCCACCCCATAATATACCCTAACCAAACATTTCATAGCTAAGTGAAATAAATAAATTTTGCTAAGTAAAATTTGACAAACAAAGAGGCAGAAAAGTACAGTCGAGGCAGTCAAATGTCAGTAAATCCCTTTGTGAGCCAATCAAAATTAAGATCATTCATGAAATGAATTCGTGGCATATTTATAGAATAATTATTGGTAAAAATCAGCCAAATTAACAACTTCTAATATATAGAAAAGTCAGTGCATTTTGGTAATACTATGTTCCAACAATGACTTTTATGTTGCTTAGCAACAAAAGTACAACCTAATATTGTTGTTAGACTATATACTGAAAGTATAAAATGAAATATATAGACAACAAAACTGGAAAAATATTTGTTGATTTCTTTATTTAGAGTCTCCCTTGATTAAAGAGGTTTGTTTTTTTATTAAAAATGTTGGTGATGTAACAGAAAATAGCTTAATTCAAAAACGATTTAAGTTTAAAATGGAATCAGTATTTTTACTTTCATGATAAATTTTATGCACTTAGCTCTAGGGTAGGTGATCCTAAACTATGTCTTTACTTTAGGCTTATTATACCCACACTCACTACACTTATAAGGTTTCACGGCACCTCCACCCCCCTCATGGCTCCCTTGCAACCCAGTTACTAAAATTGTAATGGGCAGACAGTAAGCAAATTATTCTATCTGGATAAATGCATTTTGGCTTTTATGACTCCTCCTATTTTGAGAAAGCAGACGTGATGTGATACACACTGGCTTTTATATAAGTTAGATGAATACATTTTGTATGTATTTTCCAAGTCTCACTTATATTTCTCTGAGATGTAATCTGGTAAAGTCAAGGTTATAAGCACTATTTTTATACGTGTTATTTGCTGAAGATTGGTAGGTTAACTATTTTAATTGTTCTTTTCATTAAACTATCACACCTAATATAATATAGTTCAATATAAATGTCAGAAGTATCATAAATGGTTTTAATTTAAACAAGTTCCTAATTCATTGATTTATTTAAAATTAACTGAATTTATAATAAACTCCTAATTTGAAATACATGCATCTGTGATGTATAAGGATGTTAATAGCTCGTTTTATCCAGTATGTATCTAATTTAATATTGCTCATAGCTCTTAATGAATTGATTTATTAGGTTTTGTTGTGTTTTTAAGATAGGCATTAATTTGCTACTGCATGTGAATAAAATAGCAGAAAGTTGAGTGATAAAATAATGCTAATTTTATCTTATACTCATATGTATACGTCATTCCCATATAAAATCTTGATGTCTTCTAGATGCATATTTTTGTACACATTAAAATAAAGATGTTATGCAAATATATCTTATTTGAGGACAAAAAATCTTTGGTTGCTCCACATCTATCCAAACTTCCACCTTCTTAAAAATGAAACTTTGTACAATTTAAATAGATGGGAAATGATTGGTTTGTAATGTAGTGTGTATGAAAATGGTCAAATTCCTTAAATTCAAAAATAATTTAAATGACATACCCCTTGCATTTAATCACCCATATTGTGTTAGATTTCTTAAAAAATCGTAAAAGTTTTGTCTAGAAGATTAGGAGGCATCAGTAAACTATGCCTACATTTTTTCTAGTTTTTCTTACTCAGCAGGTGTCTGCAGGCTTGTTTAGAAGCACTACAATGGCAACTTAAAACTTGCTTTTTTTATATTTAACAGTATAGTAATTGGTAGGGCAGATTGTGAACTCCTTATTTACTGGGTATCCGATTATTTTCAATTCACCTTATGATACAACTTATCACTACGAATAAATTTTATATGAAATTTTAACAGGTGAGGAAGGCATGGAGAAGTTGAAGAAGTCAGATACCTTACATCAAGTAGAAGACAAGTTAAAAGACACTGGCAGGAAACTTTCTTCATTTGGTGGAAGTTTCAGTGAAGAACTTAGGGTATGATACATTTATATACCCTTTATTCTTTCAGTTTTGTGTTTCTACATTTTAAATGATGTGAGGAATGCACTAAAAATTCAACAGACAACAATAAGGACCATTTTCCTGTTTTTTAATGCTATTTATGACACTGTGAATAATAACAATGGTAATGTTTTATCAGAAATCCCAAATATTAAGACAAATGCCAAAAAAAGCCTTTCCTAATTGCATATCTGCATTTAATTATGGTTGCCTGCAAATATTTTTTATAGTTTTTATGTAAATAAGAGAAGGTTATATAGTATGTTCCATATACATGTATGTGCTGATAATAGTGCTCTGGAGAGGGATGTATGTGCCCAAGGCAGTTAAACAGTTAAGGATTGTAGAGAAGCCAAAGCTGTAATTCACAACTATACCAGATGCAATATTATATACCATAGAGACAATGATAGTGATAGCTTATTTTGTAATTAGTGTAGAAAGTCTTTCCCATCAAAAAATCAAGATTTTGAAAGAGTTTACATTTGATAAAAAAAAACAACCAAGAAAATGTAATTTTAAAGAATGGAACTGTTTAGCTCTTATAGAACCAGGATGTTAGTGACAGGGTATTTTTAAAAAATAAAAATATTTTTGAAACTTGTAATCAATAATGTGATGGAAAACTTATTGAATATGTTACTGGGCAAGTTCCAAAATTGATATGCTCATATATGTTTTGTTACAGAAGGGACTGAAACAAATGAATGAAGACATGCAAAGAAGACAGAAAAGATAATAGTGAACTTTTAGCAATTTGTAACATATGCTTAGCAGTTAAGATTTCCTGTAGAATTAGAATATGGACTTTTTAACTCCAGGCTACTGCATGTAGTAGTAAAGGTTGTGGAAATCTTAAAATGCAATATTCTGTAAAGAATTAATATGCATGATATATCATTGCATCTAAATGAATGCTTTGTGAAACATACCTAGTAAGTATATTGATTAAAATATCCAAAAAAATATAACAAGGTCTTAATTTTTTTATCATGTGACCACAAGGAATAGAGTTATAAATTGATAAATAATATATGATATCAATTGGATATATGTAAGATAAATATACAGTTGCATCCTATTTTCTAACATTACTTTTCAATAAATATAATTCCTTTTAGTATGGAGGAGCTATAGGTTTCAAGCCATAAAACAGTTCTTCAAAAAGTTGTGTATTTTTTCAATTTAAGGGACTTCATACATTTGTATAAAAATTGTTAGCAATAATGGTTGATGATATATGTTGATAATATGAAAAAAATAAAAACTTGTAAAATAAAAAAGATAACATTGTGGAGATAAAAATTGTCAAACAGCTACTAATCTAAAGAATGTGGTTATGTAAAAAAATGTTTTTCTTCAAACATGAAATATTATAGCAATCTTGTAACTCACTGTTATGTTGTTACTTAGCTTGACATGGCCTATTGTTTGGGATTCTAGACTTGCAATCTGCAGGCTGCTGAATCAAAATCCAGTGCTGAAAATCTTTGATCTTTATAATGTGATGGTTAATCTCACTATTCATTAGTAAAGAGTAGCCCAAGAGTTGATGGTAGATGCTGCATGCTGCTGGTCAGCAGTTCAAAATTATGGATGGTAGCAGTTAGCCTTAGTAGTTTAGCTTTAAACAATCATACAAAATGTTTTTACTTTTATTATCACCTTACATTTCCAATATGTTTTGATACCATTAAAACATCCTTTTAGTTTTATAACATGAAAAACAAAAAATAATTTCAGAAAATTTGCCAACTTCTCTACAACACTAAGAGTTATTACCATGCATGCAACTGCTGTGGAATTTCCTGCACATGACAAAAGCCTTAAAAAAAACTCTCACTGCTACATGTGTTTACGTGTAAAATGCCAGCCTATGACATAATTGTCATAATGCTGTGGCCCTCCACCTATAGAGGGTGACATGACCTCCATGCACAGTAATCCTCGTGAGCACTAGCACATGATCATTGGCTCATTCTTTCCTCAGTACTGCCTGTGTTCAGACATGTTTTTTTTAGTATCTAGTCACTTTGATTGACAGCCTTTTTTTATTTAGTGTTACCTTACTTTTGTACTCATTGCACTTTTGTTCCATCCATCTGATTGCAACAGGGCTAATGTTTTCTGTTCAAGGAGCTGAGGTGCAGTAGTTACGTCTTTAGCTCACTTAGTGGAGCAAACACATTGCATGAGACAGATCTCAGATTTCAATCTGTGGCAATGTACTATAAATGTTTTGGAAATATTAAATTACCATGATCTTATAGAGCTGTGATGAACCATGGTATGACAACATATTAAAATCTGATGTTTTTCAGTCGTGATGTTACTGCTGTCAAGCATCAGGTGGTTGGTTCCATTCTTTATACTTTTTCTTCATTTCAGGTCCCTCGTTGTTCTTGTTTCATTGCCTTCTGTGGAGCATGCCTTGCTTACGGATACTTTTGGCCAGTTCTTCAACCACCAGCCTTAGCTGCTGGCTCTTCTCTATCTGATGAGTTACAGGTATCTCCTCTTTTTCTGTTTGCTATGTCATAACTCAGGTATTTGACTTTCTGTGTAATTTGTCTGTATATCATAATGATTCTTGGGTTGTTTAACTTCATGGGCTTCCTTCTGTCCCAACTTCATGTTGATTAATCTCTACCTTGTCCACCTCATCTTTGTGACTCATTTGTTATAGCCTCAAGTCATGACCCTTCTATCTTTCTTAAACTCCAATCTTTTGTTTCTCTTCTGTCTACTTGAGGAACTCCTCTTTCTCTATCTTTGTCCCTTTTTTTCTTGCAATCCACTCATCTTCATTTTATCTTTACTCCTTTGCTATGTCTCTAACCTTCACCTCCTTACTGTCTTTTCTTTGTGACCCTGATAGTTTTGATGAGAACATTCATTCTTCTTTGTTTAACTTCTGTTTCTTCCTCTACTGTCTTTATTTTGTATTGCTTTCCCTCTTCTTGGGATCTTCTCAGTTTGGATGCTTTCTTTTTGGGTATCTGTCTCCCTTCCTCCTCTCTCCTTGATGTATGTCTTGCCCCCTTTTCTCTGTTCACCATTCTTTGGGTTTTTTCTCAATTCATTGGAATTTCAGGCTGGAACTGCTTGCCAACAATCCTCCTTCAATTTTCTGGTTTCCTATCTCGCTTGACCACTGATGCTTTGGTTGGCTACCTGACCTTGGGAGTCCCATGGGGCTACCCCACTCCGGTTCCTTGTCCTATCACTTTTACTCACCATTTCCTCTCCCACAGTGTAGGACATCAAAATTCTCAGAGGTAATCCTTTCTTGGAACTGACTTTTGGCTCTGGAACCTTTAATGCACACCTCTACTATCTTGCACACCTGTTGTCTCCTTTCACTGGTTCTTTCTTTTGATTTGTCTCTATATTTCATATTCCATCTTCTCATCCTCTCACATATCCTCTTCCATTTGATCCTCTGTATCTTCAACATTTTCTTTGGAGTTTCTTGATTCTTGTGCTTGGTGGGTTCAATCATCTCCCATATGTTTCACACCATGGAGATCTTGATATCAAAGGCTCTTCACTCTCACTCTCTTCCTACAGGAGACATTCTCTCACTTTTGGCTCTGGCTTCTATCTGCCATGAATTCCCTTCAGTGAGCTCTGTGGGGATCTGTTGCACATGTTTTACTATTTCCTATTTGCCCTTGTGCATTTATATTCATTGTTACTTCCATCTTCATTGTGATGGCTCAAATGCTTCAGCAAACCTAAGGAATTCCACTTGACTTGCATCTTTACATCAGTGTCTTCCTTTCCAGTTGAGAGGAGCAGTTCTAGACACCTCCACTGTTTCTGAATTCTCGTCTACAGAACAGTGATCTGGACTTATCAACATTTTAGTGATGTCTACAGCATTTTGAACTTGCCAAAATCTTCAGTTGCAGTTGTTGGGCCATCTGATGCTTCTATGTTCATTTCTTCCATAATCTGCCATGGAGGCACCTGCTTTTAGGACCTCTGTTTTTTTCTATATATTTTTGTGTGTGTAGGCCAGTCCATTTCAGTGATTGAAGGTTACCTAGTGGCATTATCCACACCTTTTGCCCATTACTATTCCTTTTCTTCTTCTTGCTTATGGTTGTTGTTGTTTGGACAATCACACTTTTGCCACCACTCATCCTCTATATCAAAAAGGCCAGTTGATTTCTTTCCCTCACCTTTTCTTTCTTTTGAAGACTTGGGCTGCCTGAGAGGATGATTGGTTGATTTTCACTCATTTCTCTCCCTTCTATTTCCTGTTCCCAGTTGTCTTTTATGTCCAATTAAGGCTGTCTTTTGCTATTCTGCTTGGACTGTCACCTTTCATGAACACCATAAAAGGAATTTATTTTGTAATTGATCAGCACTGGTGACTCCACCATCTTCAGTGTGGGATTCTTCTAGCTCTTAGTGGTGAAGAGAGATAAGTGATGTTTCTGAAATTAAAATTTTCTTACCTGAAAATGTATTTCAGATACATGCACCATCTCCCGCCCTTCTTCTCCACTTTCATTGTGTTTAATTTACCTCATCAGGAATGAGCCTATGGTCATGTGCTGATGCTAACAGCGATTACAATAAGTAAATGTTGTGTTGCCCTCCTGTTGGTGGAGGGCTACAACATTATGACAATTACATTATACGTTGGCACAGTACATGTAGATATGTTTAGGATTGGGAATTTGTTCAAAGCTAGTAGCATGTTCAGTAAATTCCATGGCGTTCCATGGGAGGTAATAGCTCTTTGTGATCTAGAGAGGTAAGTATCTATCTAAAATATATTTTCAAGTAAGGAATAATGCTCACATTTTCTTGGAAACAGAAAAATAAGAAACGTTTATCTTACATGTTATTTGTATTAAGCAGTGAGACATTAACTAGTAATACCCAGGGTCTCTTTATTGACTCTGTGTATACTCCTACAAAGAAAATATGTTTACCGGAACCAAACCCTACTGAAGCAAAAATTGAAAAGGAAAGGAAACTTCTTTTTTTTTTTAACATACCATTACATTTCAAGGTTCATTCAAGAAATCTGCACAGCTGTCTTTGAAATTGAAATTTGGGTGTCTAAGTTAAAAAATATAACTGTCAAAGCTTTTGTTTGTTCTTTCTTTACATTTTCACAATTGAAGATATACTGGTAGTGTGCTGGTTTTCTGAGATTAATGGCAAGAGATTTTAACATGCTAAGGTAGAATTCTTCCTGGGAATGAAGGATGATGTGGAAAAAACTGGATGTAGAAAAAACATTACATTTGTTTATATATTGGTTGGGAATGGTACTTGTGTTGTAGGTTTTATCATTACAGTGTTCATTTATTTAACTGCAGAGCCTTCTAGTGATTGAAGAAGTGAAACTTTCAAAATGTGAAAGAAATTCTGGTTAAAACCCTGCTATACATAGCATTTAAAATATTAGGAAGTCAAAACCTTTTCAAGTAGAAGTTGAGAACCTTAAACTAATGCTTATGAGGAACTGTTTTCCATTGTCATTCCCGAATAGATTAATCCACACAAAAATTGAAAAAATAAATACCCCATTTGTTGTTATGTTAGATGTTCAGAAGAAAATTGTGACTTTAGTTAAACCCTACTTAGGCATTGTTTCATACTTCATACATGATTAAGAAGCAAAATAATAAAACAGCTATATCCACAAGTTCAATTAAAATGTGTCTTTACAACTTTAAGGACAAACAACATCCACTGAATACCTCGCTGGTGGTTTACAAGTTCATGTGCCACATGTGCAAGCAGGAATATATTGAATCAGACACTAGAAGGCTCTGGAGTTGAATGAAAAACTGTAATGCTAAAATGTACAACACCAGTAGTGTTACCAACCTCTATCTATGCAAATGTGATGATCTGCCTACCTCCAGCTTCTTCATCATCCTCCATTCTTTGGAAGAATTCGAGCTTAGAATGCTAGAATCTATTGTCAATAAGTTGAAAAAAACCAGTTCTTAACCAGAAGATAAGCACACTGCCACTACGTCTTAAACTGTGTAAACATAAAGAAATAACACAAACTGAACTTCGATATGAGGTGGATTAAAAACTGGAAAACTATAATAAAACAGTTAGTAAAACACTAACAAGTATAACAAGCGTAAATGGTTTAAAACCAATACTCGTTTTCCATATCTAGTGTCACTTTGACTCATTAACTTCATGTTATCATTTTATTCCTGATTTGTTACTAATCCAAGACCTCCTAGTGCTCACACTTGCAGCTGCCAGATTTTACTGTTTATTCTCTTTTTACAT